GTTACTAATTTATGAAAAATTTAAGTCTGTCTACAAACTTAAGTCTTTTGAGCTCTTTCCTCATACAGATATGAATAATTACCCGAAAAGAGAGATCAATTGAATTTTAATAAAATTTAGAATTATAGGTTGACTTAATATAATTGCTTGCCAGTCTAGTCTTGACAGAAGAATCTCATTATTTTGTTTTTTTATTAATAAAATTAAAATATACAGTTTACAAATGGAAACGTTTTCAAATCAATTTCGAAATTTTCCACTCACTATCTAAACTATAATCTTTAAAATTTTATTTTATAAATTATTTCAGCATTTTTCTTCTGTTGTATTTTGCTGTTTTTCTATTCAAAAACGCTGATTTGCAGAGAGAGCAATATAAATTCCGGAATTCGACCGGTCGAATTTAAAAAATCCATGAATTAAATATGGTGCGAAACAACTAAAGCGTGAGAACTCACTCGTTTATGGGTGAGATACTCTTTGCTGTTACTCTTTTTTTCAATAATGACAGAATGTGATCGACAAAAGACCCTCACTTTGCTATCTTGTTAGTCTGCTAGTCATCTACGTTGTCTTTATAATTACTCTAGCTGTAATTTTCTCTTCTATCTGCTCAATAAAATCAACATATAAATTGGTGCTCTTGAGCGTGTGTATGTTGTAGTCAAAACTCAAACTGGGGTTTTGGCTGGGCAAAACTCAAACTGGAGTTTTGACGATTGATTTAGCTAGCCAGAACTGAAATTCAGCCAAAAGTCAAATTTCGACTAGAAGTTAGTCTGAAAATGGTATATTTGTTATAGTAAAAACTGGAATTTATACAAATTTCAGATTTGCGTAGCTCTAGGTAAGAGTTGGATTAACACAAAATTTTATCATCATGCGCTTAGTTTCGTTGATAAAGGGTGGAGATGCAGTTTAGGGCTAACTCTGTTTACTCTAGCCTTTACGAAATACTTATCCAATTAACCGCGTAAAGGTGGCATGATATCTAAGTAGTTTTTTTTTAATGTTTTTTTGTACTCAAGTGAGTACTCCAATATGTATAATGAGTGGCAGAAATATAACAATTACCAATCTTTTTTAACTATGTCTCTCCATCATCTGCTTTATACACCTTTTTGTACCATCTCTTTTCTCGTGCAGAAAGAATAAGTATCATGAAACAAAAACAGCTATATACAGTTTTCAGATTGGAATTGTTGAAATGCCAATCTATAGACAAACGACAAAAAAATCGTAGACCAACACTACCAGCAAGAACAAAACAGAACTATATGTGCAAGAAGAGTAAAGTGAAAAGAGAAAAAATACCAATTTGTTTGTGATTATCATTTTGTATTTTGACATTCACCTCGTTTTGAATGGCATTTCGTAGAACAAGCAACATTTGCTTTTCGACAAAGACAATGTCTGGTTGCACATTGCCATTTACAAACGCAAGTGGCACCACTGACTGAACCACGAACAAAGAGTTTAGATGCTTCCATTAAAGAAATTTCTTTATCAAGTTCAAATACATTGAGTGATTTCAATTCGTCAGGACAAGCTGATCTGAGATCAATAATACTTTCGATTGAAAATTTGTTTTGTAACAAACCATATTGACAACATAAATGAAAAATAAAGTCGTTATCTTTTTTTTCTTTTGCTACAAGTATACATGGTAAAACTTTTGGATCTGTATTTGTTCTATCAACCTCATGAATTCTCACACCAAGGCAATCTCCTTTTTTATATTGTTCAGTTAATTTAAATAAATGTTCATCGTTTGCTTTTCTTTTCTTATTTGCTGTTCCTAAATAATTTTCTTACATCATTATGTCGTGGTGAATCTATTATTAATGAATTAGATGTTAATGCAGATGAAATTGATGATTGAGAATTAGGTTGAGGCAGTGCTGGTGGGGAATCGAACGAGATCACATTTTCTGTTGTCAAATTTATTGTGGCACCTAGTGGTTGATGATAAGGATCATAGGAAGAAGAAGGTGAAAGATCAAGAAGAGAATGATAAAGAACACTAGCTGCATTTGGACCATTGTTTGTATTTAGAAGCCGAAACATTTCAGGAATGAAGTTATCTATATTTAAATTATCATTTTCTTCTTGTTTATCAAAATCATCAATTACAGTTTCATTTGTGGTGGATTGTTCAACAATTTCATCAACAACAACATCAGCGCGTTCAATTGGAGTTGGTAATTGTTCTTCATCCATTATATCACATTCTTTTACAATTTTCCAAAAATCGGAATCCGATCGTGGACGTTGACCAAACATTATTTCATATGGTGTTGTTTTTGTCGTTGATGGCACTCTTGTATTGATTCCATAAGTCACTGGTAGCAGACCATCTGACCAATGAACTGAATTGTTCATATCTAACCATTTACCCAATGCAATACTTAAAACAACATTGGCACGTTCAATACAGCCTTGACTTTGAGGATGTCTGGGTCTTCCTCGAATGAAACACGTAAAAAACCGTGGTAAAAATGAATGACCATCAACCAACAGTTGTGACTATTTATACATTGATCCTTATATGTACACAACGGTCGAGAAGAATTCAAATGCAATGTATAAGGTACATAGTACAGTTAGAACAACGCAATGACAAAAGAAAAAAAGACTCATCTTTCTGGTCGTTAGAAGCATCTATAGTCTTTCTACATTTTTCGCCCATGCTCTAGTCAGCTTACAAACTAATGTCATCACTTCTCTCAGCCAAAATAGAAAGAAAAATAAATATACCATTTTCTGACTAACTTCTAGTCGAAATTTCAGTTTTGGCTAAAGTTAGCCCTAAACTGCATCTCCACCCTTTACCAACGAAACTAAGCGCATGATGATAAAATTTTGTCCAGTCTGAGTTTTGCCCAGCCAAAACCCCAGTTTGAGTTTTGGCTAGCCAAATTTCAAATTTGGCTGAGTTTGAGTTTTGACTACAACATACATACATATTGTGGATAGTCCCCTACCGAACACCGATCGCAGAGATGAATTTGAGTTTTGGCTACAACATGTATGTACACAGACCCGGCTGGTTACGTGTGCAAAGTGCGCGATGCACACAAGCGCCGCAAGAGAAAAAGCCCCTAAAAGACCTCAAAAAATATGAGATATGTTTTTAAATTAAAAATGAATGGCATGCTATGATGCTACAAATATGATTTATACTTTATACGTTGTTATGAAATTCTTTTATATAACTATTTTCATCGTTGAAAAGGACAACTGAATTTCTCGTTTCTCGTAACTGTGAAGATTCCTTCGAGAAATATATTTCACAAGCAAAAGTCCTCGCAATAGATGCGGATTTAACGAACGATTTTAGTCCTGAGCCAGAAAATCGGATCCGAAAACGAAAGAAATTTTTTGACGAGGAGCCAGATGCCCCTGAGGCTGAGCCCGTTGATGCAAAAAAGAAATTCAAAACCAAATTTTTCGACATTTTGTTCACAACAGCAATTGCTTCAATGTAAGGGC